GTTTGCATATGTTCTAGGGATTCCTGAGTTGCTAATTTCCAGCTTCATTCATTGGTGGTCTGAGAAGATACATATGATTTTGATTCTTTTGAATTTGCTGAGACTTGCTTTATGGCCTAGTATGTGGTTAATCCTAGAGTAGGTTGCATGTACTGCTGAGAATAATGTGTATTCTTTAAGTGTAGGATGAAAGTTCTGTAGATATCTGTTAGATCCATTTGGTCTATAGTGTCGATTAAATCTGCTGTTTCCTGTTGATCTTCTGTCTGGTTGATCTGTCTGTTGCTGAAAGTGGAGTATTGAAGTCCCACATACTATTGCATTGGAGTCTAATTCTCCCTTTAAGTCCCTTAACATATCTTTTAAATAAACTGGTGCCCTGTATTTAGGTGCATATATGTTTATAATAGTTATAATTTCCTGTTGAATTGATCCCTTAATCATTATATAGTGCCCCTCTTTGTCTCTCTAAACAGTTTTTGTGTTATAGTTTATTTTGTCTGATATTAAGGTGGCTACACCAGCACTTTTTTGGTATCTGTTGCCATGGAATACCTTTTTCCAACCTTTCACTTTCAGTCTGCATGCATCTTTGTTGTAAAGATATGTTTCTTGTAAGCAGCAAATAGATGGATTTTATTTTTTAATCCATTCAGCCAGTCTGTGTCTTAACTGGAGAGTTGAGGCCATTTATATTGATAAGCAGTGACTTTGCCTTGCCATTTTTCAAAAGATATTTCTAATATATGCTTGGAACCTCCTGTGATCTTTTACTGGGAGGTTTTCTTCCTTTACCTTCTTTCATATTGATGGCCGTGTTTCTGTGTTTAACACATTCTTAAGTATCTTTTGCAGGGCTCGATGAGTGGTGACAAATTCTTTCAATTTCTGTTTGCTATGAAAGGTCTTTATTCACCTTCATTCACAAATGAGAGCTTTGCACGGTATAATATTCTGGGCTGGCAGTTTTTCTCTTAGTACCTGGGCTATATCTCAACTTTCCCTCCTAGCCTGTACGGTTTCTGATGAGAAGTCTGCTGTGAGTCTAATTGGAGATCCTCTGAGAGTAATCTGACTTTTGTCTCTTGCAGATTTTAGAATCTTTTCTTTATGTTTCACTGTGGTGAGTTTGATTACAGCGTGTCATGGTGAAGATCTCTTTTGGTCATGTTTATTGGGGGTTCTTTGTGCTTCCTGTACTTGGATGTCTCTGTCCTTCTCCAAACCCAGAAAGTTTTCTGCTAGTATCTCACTAAAAAGGCCTTCTAATCCTTTCTCTCTCTGCATGCCTTCAGGAACTCCTACAACCCAAATGTTTTTTTTTTTTTTTTAATAATAGCCTGTAGATTCCCAACAATATTTTTTAGATTTCTAATTTCCTCTTCTTTGGTTTGACTGTATACTTTCCTGTGCTCTGTCTTCTAAGTCCGATATTCTCTCTTCTGCCTCACTGATTGTTTATTGTTTTTAAGGCTCTCAAATGTGTTTGTCATTTGTTCTTTTGAATTCTTCATTTCATTTCATTTCTCTTCAATATCTCAATTTCATGTTCTACTAAATTCCTCATTTCATTTTGATTGCTCCTTAAGATTTCATTTTTAGGACAGAGATTTTCTGTCCTGTGCTGTATGGATTTCTGTAGTTCATGCATTTGTTTTTGATAACTTCTAAATGTTATCAATAATTTTTGAAATCTGTATCTTGCTTTTCTTCTGTCTCATCACATTCATAACCTTGGAGTGTCATGTTCATGTGGGAGCATCGTGATGTTGTCTTTGTTCTTGTTTCCTCGGTTTTTGTGTTTGTTGTTTGTCATTGTGGAGATATTCTTTGGTTTGTCTTCTTTTTTTTGCTGTGGTGGCTTTTCTCGTTATACTATGATTGTAGATTAAGTGGACTGTCTGCTTTTGGTGAATCTTTAGAGGCTTGTGGTGGGTGTGGCCAGAGAGCTTTGTTCAGTTTTTCAGGGTTAAAGGTGTGCCAAAGGTGACACACCTGGGTTTGGCATAGTATATTTTCTCTCTCTTTTTTTTTATTCAGAAGGGTAGTAATTCTGCTTAGCTGAGTTCTTCTCCTTGATGGCAATCAGTGCCTGAGCCCTATCCACATTGGGTATAATATTTGCTCTCCCAAGGACCACACAAAGAATCTGTGCAGTCCTCAGTGTAAGTTCAGCTTCCCCTGCAATGTCTCTCACCAAGTAACCAAGGCCGCCCAAGTTTGTGGCGTCCCCCATCTAGACTACTCACGTTTCAGCCACACCATGAGTTCTACACACCCTCAGTTTTTTTTTTTTTTTCACAGTCCCAGTTCATAAGCTCCACACTTTCACTAGGTCTTAGTTTCCTGTTATTACTCCCAACCAGAGTCAGGTTTTTCTGCTTGGCTGAGGACAGGTGCAGCCCCAAGCTAGTGCAGCTGTTAACATATGTCCAAAATGGCGCCTGCTCCATTGTCCTACATGCCTTTGTAAGGTGTGTGGAGAGAGAGAATTGTGTCTGTTCCATCCCTTTTATTTTTTTTCTCTCCTCTAGTTAGGCTGGTGTACTTTCCCCCACGGGGCTTCAAGCCTTGTACCCTCTAGGCTCTTCCTGCCACTTTCTGCCAGTGTCTCAGGTTACTGCGGTTTCACCTCACCTCTCTTTCCAGCGCTGGTGAGGAGGAGAAGACTCTCGGTAGCTGGTTTCCCAAGCTGTGGGCACCTGTGTCCTCCACGTAGATCCACCATGTCCCTCTAATTCCGGAAGAGTTTCCTCTGTAGTTTTTGCCCTAACTCTTCCCTGAGACTTCACTATCTCCACTTTTATTAAACTATCTTTTCCCGGACTATCAGTGAGCTCCCTCCCTATTCCACCATCTTGTAGCCCCTTTATCTCTCCTGTTGATTTTAGTTTTGGTTACAGCTGAACCTTTCATAAGAGATACAGCTTCTCGTTTGCCTTTTTTCACATAATCAGTTCTAACCATGCTTCATTTTATTTGCTACAGCTTCAGCTTGATTCTTAATGCAGAAATTATGCCACAATATATTAACTATACAATGCAATAAAAATGTGAACAAATGGGGTATGTATTGTGGAGGAATGCTTTATGCCACTTCTTGGGAAACCCATATCCCATATTGAAGTGCCAGTTGGTGTCGGCTACTCTGCTTCTGATCCACTTTCTTGCTGATGCATCCTGGGAGGCAGTGAATGATGGTTCAAGTGCTTGGGCCCCTACTACTCACTTGGGAGTCCTGGATAGAGTTCCTGATTCCTGTATTTGGCCTGGCCCAGTCCTGGATGTTGCAGGCATTTGGGGAGGAACCAGCAGATGAAAGATCCCTCTACCTTGATAGAGTTGATAGATCAGATAGATATATCATCTCTGTCGTTCTGCCTTTCAAGTAGATGAAAATAATCAAAAATTTTAAAGTGAAAATGAAAATTAGAATGTGCACAGTTGCCTTTTTTCTGATAATAGATCCTTCAGTTGGAACCATGTGATTCCCGCATGCTAGAAAATACTGTTTTTTTTTTTTTTTTTTGGAATATAACCCTGGACACAGTGAATGCAATTGTGTAAAAATGAATGTAAACTCACAAGGCCTATGTTGGGGTTATAGGTATGTAGATGTGTTCACTTTCTCTCTTAAAGATAACCTACTAAAAGTATATATTGTAACACTTGGTGTAACTGTGTTTCACAGAATACATGTAGTGTTCTCCAAAGGCAGATGTTGTACTCCTTCAGATCTGACTTGGTCACCTAAGGCAAGTGTACTGTTGGTCTTGGAGCAATCCCTGCATGGCAGGCGTTTTTAGCCCTTGCCTATAGATGTCACCCCTGCTCCTCACATCCTGTGGTGCAGACAAGACCTTCCCTATCACAGGTAGGGTGAGTGAATTTCATACCATTGTTCAAGCCTAGGTTGGATTTCTCTGAAAGATTTATTTGAGAGGAAGGGAGGGAGGGAGGGGGAGAGGAAGGGAGGGAGGGAGGGAGGGAGGGAGAGAGAGAGAGAGGGAGGGAGGGGGAGAGAGAGAGAGAGAGAGAGAGAGAGAGAGAGGTCTTCCATCTATTGGTTCATTCCCCAAAAGGCCACAATGGTAGGGGCTGTGCTGGTCCAAAGCCAGGAGCCAGGAACTTCTTCTAGGTCTCCTATGTGGGTGCAGGGGCCCAAACACTTGGGCCATTTTCTGTTGCTTTCCTAGGTGCATTAGCAGGGAGCTGGATCAGAAGTAGAGCAGCCAGGACTTGAACCAGCACCCATAGGGGATGCTGGTACCATGGGTGGCTGTTTTATCCACTGCCCCCCGGATCTGATTTCAAACTTAGGCTCTTACCACTTTCCTGTGGAAAAAAATGTGCTTTCGTATGTGTTTCCAGCTGTGGTGAAGCTGCCCCCCTTTAGAAAATTATGCAAACATGATCATCATGTAGGACCCAGGTCCAAACATTGAAAAATAGTTGTATTCAAAGAACTAAAACAAATATCACATTTTTTTGCTTTTTAAAATCACTGTTTATTCCATTTAGTAGAGGGTTTTTTCCATACAAATATTTGCAACAATTTTGAATTCCCCAAAACCATACATAGACGATAAATACCATGCTATTAAAGTATTAAATTTGTACAAAAATACTTTACAGCTTAATACTTGTTTGTTACAAATAAAAATACATATTTAAGTGACTCATGATCTTTTATTTTTTTCTTAACATGATTCTGTTTTATACTTTCTTGCCCTGGTGGTTCTGAAATGTGACTGAAATAATCTGTTTCTTTGCACAAAAAGAAAGGTGAGTTTTTTCCTTAAATGAAGGACAGTGTTTGAATGCTTTGCCTAAGTGATTGTTTGAATTACTTACCAAAATGAAAATGTTTGCAAAGTAATCATTTTAGTATGGAGATTCTACCATCAATATACAGATCTATTTTTTATATTTACCAAATAACAGTTATTAGTGTAGCTATTCAAAATATCTGAACAAATGAAAACAGTTGCCACCAAACATTTAAAGCAACTGTCACAATTTATTGCTTTGAGGGATGATAATAATTGGCAATGCATTTTGTGAAAAATGTATTTACAATTTCAGTAAGTGGCATGGCTCAGAACAAAAGATAGTCCAGTGTCATTTTTAAGTATATGTGCTGTGCACCCCTCAATATTACCAGTTTGCAAAACATGTCAAGCATTATGAGTTTGATTTGCCTATCATTAATGTGAACTTCATTTTAATGGACTTTTCATTCTCTCTTAAGTTCTTAGTCCTGAATTTTAAAAATACGGTAACTAATTAGTGTTACTACATACTTTAATTCATTATCAGAGCTTTTCAGCTATTAAAAATGTGTCCTTAAAAAAAAAACAGGTCACAAGACATATCCTGTTTGATCATTTGTTGCATAGGGAATAGCATACATCTTAGTTAAAATCATTCCTATATTTGGGCAAAACATTTACCACCACCTATTATGGTCTTCTACGTGCATCATTGCTGAAACATTTCAAGATAACTTAATTTTATACCTGTACCCCTCCCATTGTGCAGGCCCAACAGTTTACCAAATACCAGTTTCCCTAGTAGAGCCAGCTTTGTGAAAAGCCATATTGTTGGTCAAGTTCTCACATTATATGACTTTATAGTAAGAAACTGATTTGAAAGTGAAGGAAATTATCATAGAGAATTTTTTCAAATAGACATTTCTGTTTTTAAAAAGTGATAGTGAAATGAACTTGTAGTAAAAAATTTTCCTCTGATGTTAATCATGGGGAGGGGCAGCCTACCTATTTTTCTCTACCATTGGGCTTGGCAGGGAATTACCTGCCCTATACCATAGTGGTCACCAAAAAAGAAACCTCTTCAACCTGAAAAGGGACGTGAACATGAGCCATGAGAGAGATTTAAAAAACCCCTGTGCTTGCAGTTAATGCCACATGATTATCTGTGCTTCAAATGTCACAGAAATCTTAAAGGGATTTTTAGCACCATGTAGATAACGTCTTTTGTCCTGCTTTATAAAAAGTGCTGCTATAATGTATTAGTGGGTTCTCGTGTCTCCAGATTACCACCATGGCTCAGCTGCTGGGAAAAAGCAGTGTTCTGGTCACACCAGTCTCCTCCTGGAAGAGTCTGTTGGTCCATGGACTTCTGGGAAGCCAGTGGATTTCTACTGATTACCAGGTCCAGCTTATTACCAGATTCTGCTATGAGGGGCACAACAAGGCAGCAGTCAAAATCTCTCGTTCGGACATGGTTAACCTGAAAAGTCAAGAAGAATCAGGTTGTATTATTGTTGTAGTCCTAATTCCCAAAGCCCAGAGTAACACTTCATGTGTAACAAGCTGTTTGGAGCCTTGAAAGTGCTTAACCACACAGCCTGTACAGAGAAATCTACCCCTGCTCTGACAATAATAAAATGCAGCTAGTGGCTCACTTATTAGCTACTACTAAATGGTAAGGTCCTCCACAGCAGGGAACAAGCAGATGCTCCATGCAGACATTTGTGCTTGAAGTTAAAGTGACCCACATCCCATTCCCTTTGAAATTGTTTTTTTTTTTTTATTATAGTGTGCTGAATAAGCATTTTCCATCTGAAGAACCAGGGGCTACCCCAAGGCCCATTTTCCCTGGGAGCCAGGAAAAACACAAGAACAGGCTGCCAGCACAGAGCAATGGTCAGACAACAGCCACAAAGTTGTCTGCCAGTTACAAGTTTCTTATGTGAAGGACCTGCTGGTTGAGATTGGAGAACTGACTTTAAGCCATCTTCCTGGTTTAAAAAAAATCTGTGAAAGGCACACTGTGAACAGCCATGCCCAGCTCCCCTTCATTTCCTTCAAGAGCAGGGGTGCTGGCCAGATGGTGCTGGAATCTCAGTGAAGCTGGGGGCTCTCAAAACACTTGGTTTCTGTGACATCACTTTGTTTTGACCCTGTAACCATTTTAATTAGTTGCTTTCAGTTCTTTCTTGCCTTACTTGCTTCCTGTCCTTTAAATTTTAATATTAGAATTCTAGCCTTAGTGGTTCTTTTTGTTGTTGTTGTTGTTCCCTTTTTCTTACTATAAGCCCACCACAGGCAACTTTATCCAAACTCATGCCTTCAGTATCCTAAATCTTTATGTATACCTCTAACATTTCTCCTATGCAACAGATCCAAGGTGCCAGCTACTACCCAGACTGCTCTACCATGATACGTAGAAGGCATTAAAACTCATTAGGTCTGAGACAGAGTACCTTGCACACATCTACCTATCCTGTCTCCTTGCTTATGATCATCCTCTTTCCCACCTTACCCTCGTCTGCCCACAATAATGAATTGTCTTTCTTTAGGTAATTATTCTGCTTAAGAAACTGATGTCTTCAGAATAAAGTCTGATTCTAGAAGAGATTCCAAGATGGCAGACTACGGAGGGAGCTTACTGCTCTAGTCTAGAGGAAGATAGTTTAAAAAAAATGGAAGAGTGCAACCCCTGAGGTTGCACTTAGGAAGAAAACTCCAGTGGAAATACCAGAGCAGTTAGAGGAACACTGTGGGTCCACATGAAAGGTATGGACATGCACACAACACAGGACCGCAGCAGCTGAAAGCTTTAGCACAAGCTGTGGAGAGTGAAGTGGGACCAGACTGGAGCTCTGTGGGTGACAGTGTACCTACCAACCTAGAGGGGAAAAAGGGGCATGTTTCTTTCTCCCCAACCCCTGAGAACAGTGCCCTGCAAATACCTGAGACAGGGCAGGCACAATTTTGGACATACATAACAGCTGCCCCAGCTTGAGTCTGTGTGCCCAGAAACCAACTGAAAGGAAATGCCCAGGTCTGGTAGGGGGGATTGATAGGGGGCTGGGTGCCTATTTTGGCCTGTGAGGTTCCCCAGCTTTGCAGCAAGTCACAGGCTATGGGGTTTAGGCTAGCTCTGGGAGCATCTCCACCTCTCTGTGGACAGGATAGAATGGCAGGGCAGAGTAGATTCTCAGCACCCTGTGACTGTGGGGGCCTTGTATGGAAACACTGGCTGCATGGGAGCGTGTGGCTGGGTCTCTGGGTAGTTGCTCCACACACTTGGGATTCCCTGATTCACTGGGGTGGTTCATTGCTGTGGGATCCATGTTCACACTAAGGCCTGCATGGATCCTTTGTGTTATTCTTGTGGCAATGTGAATGAATATTGTACCCACTGGGGCTAGCTCCCAGGCTTAGGTCACCTTAGGGAGTGCAGGTGAGGATGAAACTATGTCAACAGAGCTGATAAAAAGATTTACCACACCTAATTTCAGTGTCACCGTGGATACTCCCCTCACCCTGGAGCTCTGAACAGAGCTCCCTGGCCACACCTAGCACATATCTCTGCGTATTCACTGAAAGATAAAAACCATCAGAGGAGGAAAAAAAACCAACAAGTATCCACAAAAATGCCTTAAAATAATCACAGAAATTCAAGAAACAAGAGTAATGAAGACAACATGACACCCCCAAAGGAACACAACACTTGAATACTAGAATGTGAAGAATAGATTGATAAAATGGTGGAAACAGAAATCAATAAGTTAATCATAGAATTACTCAGAAGTAATCAGAAGCAAATCCACAAATTAATTTCATATTACTTGAATGAAAATATTTCCCATGAAATTGAGACTTTAAAGAGAAACCAAGAAAATATTAGAAATGAAGAATTTGATAAATAAGAAATACAATGGAAAGCATTAACGATAGACTGAATAAAGCCAAAGAAAATCTGAGAATACACAAATTTCTGGAAATTTTACAATCATACCAGAAAAATAAAGTGTTGGATATTTATGGGATATTATCAAATTACCCAATATACAAGACTTAGGAGTTCCTGAAAGCATGGAAAGAGAATGGATTAGAAGACCTCTTTAGTGAAATAACTACAGAAAACTTCCCTAATTTAGAGAAAGAAAGGGATGTCCAAGTACAAGAAACACACAGAACTCCTAAAAGACATGACCAGAAAAGATCTTCACCACGACACATTGTAGTCAAACTTTCCACTGTAAAAGATTCTAAAATATGCATGAGAGAAACACTAGATTACATTTGGAAGATCTCCAATTAGACTCACAGCTGACTTCTCATCAGAACCCTACAGGCTAAAGAGAATAGCAACATAATCTAAGTCCTAAGAGAAAACTCTCAACCCAGAATACCATATCCAGCAAAGCTCTCATTTGTGAATGAAAATGAAATAAAGACTTTCCATAACAAAAAGAAATTGAAAGAATTTGGCACTACTCATCCGGTCTTACAAAAGATGCTTAAGGATGTGGTACACATGGAAACATGGTCATCATTATGAAAAAATGTGAAGGCAGGAATCTCCCAGTAAAAGTACAAAGGAAACCCAAAGTGAACAATACAAATATTTATGGAAAAATGGCAAGGCTAAGTTGTTACTTATCAATAGTCATGTTGAGTGTAAATGACCTGAACACTCTAGTTAAAGGATACAGACTGGCCAAATGGACTAAAAAACAAGACACATCTATTTTCTGCCTACAAGAAGCACAATTAATTCACCAACAGATACTGCCACTTGAAAGTGAAAGGATGGGCAAAGACATTCCATTCTAACAGAATCCAAAAAAGAGCTGGTGTAGCCAAACTAGTATCAGACAAAAGAGACTTTAACTCAAAACTGTTAAAAGAGAAAATGCAATGAGTAAGCGATCAATTCAACAAGAAGATACGACTATCATAAACTGGAGTGCACCCAATTATATGGCATGTGGTTATTTAAAAGAAATATTAATGGATCTAAAAAGAGACAAAACTCCATTTTCAGCAATGCACAGATCAACAACACAGAAAATCAGCAAGAAAACAACAGGGTTAATTAACCTTAGAGACTAACAGAAATCTACAGAACTTTTTATCCCAGAGTGGCAGAATACACATTCTCTGACCAGTGCATTGAACTTTCTCTAGGATAGACCACATGCTAGGCCATAAAGCAAGTCTCAGCAAATTCAAAAAAATTGAAACCATTCCATGCTTCTCTGATGAGCTGTTGATTTCTAGTTTCATTCCATTTTCAAGAATCTCTAGGACATATGCAAATACAGGGATACTGAACAAATTTCACCTGAATGAATGGTGGAGCATAGTAGAAACCAAAAGTGAAATTAAAAAATTTCTGCAAGCAAATAAAGATGACAATATAACAATACAAAACTTATGTACACAGCAAAAGCATTGCTAAGAGGGACATTTATAGCAATTGGGGGTCTACATTAAGAAATTGGAAAGCCACATAATAAATGAACTATCAATGCATCTCAAGGACCTAGAAAAACAACAAGGAACCCAAAATTAGTAAGAGGAAAGAAATAATTAAAAATAGAGAAGAAATAAAATTGAAAAAAAAAAAAAAAAACAATGGATGCACCATTTGCCCAACAAAAAAAGAGGAACAAGACACCAATCAATAAAATCAGACATGAAAAGGGAAATGTAGCAAAAGATACCACAGAACCAAAAAGAATAATCAGGAATTATTACAAAGAGCTATATGTTAATGCATGGAGAAGCCTAGAAGAAATGTATAGATTCCTGGACCCATACAACCTACCAAAATTGAGCCATGAAGAACTAGAAAACCAAAACAGACCAATAACCAAAATGGAGATTGAATCATGGTTGATTCAATTGAGTCAATAGACAAAGAACTTGAATAGACTTTTTTCAATAGAAGAAATCCAGATGAATAGCAGACACATGAAAAAATGCTTGGCATCAGTAGCCATCAGGAAAATGCAAATCAACACCACAATGAGTTTTCACCTCATCTCAGGCAGAACGACTTTCCTACAGAAATCAATGATCAATATATTCTGGGAAGTTGTGGAGGAAAAGGTAACCTAATCCACTGTTGGTGAGAATGTAAATGGGTACAGCCACTGTGGAAGACAAGATGGAGTTATGTCAGATATCAGAATATACACCTTCCATATGATCCAGCTATCCCACTTCTGGAAATTTACCCAAAGGAAATGAAATCAGAATATGAAAGAGTGATCTGTACCCCAATGAACAGATAAGATATGGAATTAATCCACATGTCCATCCACTAAAGACTGTCTAGAGAAATTATTGTATAGGTACACTATGGAATACTGAACAGAGGTTTAAAAAATGAAATCATGTTGTTGTAACAACATGGATGCAAGAGGAAAACATTGTACTTAGTGAAAGAAGCCAGTCCCAAATGGCAAATATCATATCCCCCCTGATCTG